GTGTGTGTGTGTGTGTGTGTGTGTGTGTGTGTGTGCCCTTTTCTTGAGGTAAGAGTCCACACTTTCAACAGCTTCTCCACAGGAAGCATGACCCCTAACAGGCTCAGAGTGGCTTGGGAAGAGAGCTAAAGAAGAAGAGTAGGCCAAGCTGATGTCCGGTCCCCAGGTTTCCACTCCAGAGCTGACCTGGCAGTGTCTCTGCCTATCAAACTGGGAGGTGGCAGGACAGGGTGAGGCCTCTCATCCCCACCTTGGCCGTCCCGTGCCGGTCTCTTTCCCTTCCCTTGCAGATCCCAGAACCCACTGGCCAAGCTCCACGGCTCCTCCATTTTGGAAAGGCACCACTTGGAGTTTGGCAAAACCTTACTGAGAGACGAGGTAGGACGGCCGGCTGCGCTGGCCGGGGGGTGGGTCCCACCAGGAGCCCGGTGCTGCCCTCTGGGGTGACTCTCAGGAGTTGCGTAGCTTTATCGGCAGGATCCCTTTGCACACCTCTCCTCTGGGTCTCTCCTTAGAACCTGAATATCTTCCAAAACCTCAACCGCAGGCAGCACGAGCATGCCATCCACATGATGGACATCGCCATCATCGCCACGGACCTCGCCCTCTATTTCAAGTCGGTATCTGCTCTCCTGCCGATAGCCACCATCAAATAGCAGTGAACACGCTTCTCCTCAGGGGAAGGGCCTGCACTCGGCCCCAGTAAGGATTCCGGACCACTGCCGGTGCATCGGTTCTGACCCCGAGCCAGCCTGTTAGTGTCTCTAAGGCTGTAAATGTCTATGGGAATGGAAAGCCTTCTCTTCTCCCCATAGCATGATCGTGCATTTGAACTGCTGACCTTGCCATTAGCAGCCCAACACTTACCCAAGCCCACCCTCAGAGTTCTTCCCTGTAACGATCACGGCCAGGAAACCCTATGGGACAGTCCTACTCTGGCAGGTAGGGTCCCTGGGAACCAGGATGGCTCAGTGGCCCACACCAGCGTAGACTCTTTTCTACATTTGCGTGAGGTATAGATTACCTCTCCCCACAGCCCTGTGATGTAGATATTGTTGCCGGCATAGGGAAATGGAAGTCCATAGAGTTACCAAAGTTCGACAGCACGTCACTGGCAGAGTTGGAACACAGGCTTGGCTTTGTAAATTCTGTTCCCATTTGTCATTTTGGCCTCCATCTGAAACAGCCCACAATAGAGGGCGAGGAGGCTGCCTTATTCCAAGCCCGGCTCCCTCTGACACCCTGCTGTGTGCTGTAGGAAGAGGACCATGTTCCAGAAGATCGTGGACCAATCCAAGACCTACGAGACGGAGCAGGAGTGGACTCAGTACATGATGTTGGAACAGACACGGAAGGAGATTGTCATGTGAGTAGAGGCTGAACCCAAGGCCTTGAAGCCCAGGGTCATAAGATAAGATGCTACATCAACCGAGCCTGGGACACGGTCCAGTCTTCAGGTCTTTGATAAATGAAAATTGAAGTTAAGTCAGCACAGAATTGTAGACATTGTGACATATGTTTAATCTTTATTTTAGCATGAAAAAAAGTAAAGATATATACCATTGTTTTATTTATCTGTATAAAAAGTATCATGTTTGAAATAGTTCAGTCATAAACCAGAATTTTAGTGATGGTTATATAACTTATTTTTTAAAAATGAAACATCATATAAATTGTGATTTGCATGATAACTACATGTCACTCAAAATATACTCTCACAGGCTTAATTTTTCAATGTTCCTGTACATTTGCCAATGCCCTACAATATGGCAGTGCTATTCACAAATTAGTTACCTACATAGTTTATGTCAAATGTATTTTTATTTGCTGGCATGGGGGCTGGTGATGAGATTCAAATGCTACCTTCTCTACATTCCTAATGTGCTTCCACCACTCACCCCAATGGATGCCGAGGCAAAAGCCACATGGTTACTCAGGCTCCTCTGTGATAAGTCTGGGGCACTGAGGGATGGCCAGCAGGACCTAGAGGGAGACAAGACCTCACCTGTTCCCAAGGAACGCCTCTTTCCTTTACCCTCCGACGCTCCGTACAGGTGCGACCTGATTACCTGGTGGTGGTGGTTAGGTGCTGCCAAGTCCACGTTGACCCACAGTGACCCCACGCACAAGTCCACGTCGACCCACAGTGACTCCACGCACAAGTCCACGTCGACCCACAGTGACGCCATGCACAAGTCCAAGTCGACCCACAGTGACGCCATGCACAACAGGACCAAACACTGCCCGTGCTGGGCCGTCCTCACAGTGGTTCCTAAGCCGGAGCCCAGGATGCAGTCACTGTGTCAATCCGTCTCCTCTAGGGACATACTCTTGTTCACTGCCCTTCCTCTTTACCAAACACGATGTCCTTCTCCAGGGACTGGTCTCTCCTGACAATATGCCCAATGTAGATAAGACAGAGTCTTGCCGTCCTTGCCTCTAAGGAGCACTCTGGCCTTTCTTCTTCCAACACAAGTCGGTTTGTCCTTTTAGCCATCCATGGTACGTTCAACGGCCTTCTCTAACACCACTATTCAAATGCACTCATTCTTCTTCGGTCTTCCTTTTTCAATGTCCACCACTTGTCTGCCTATTGCACTGCGGTGGCTCGTGTGTGGCTGTGATGCCGGGGCTCTGTCACTGGTGTTTCCAATGCCGGCAGGGTCCCCCAGGGTGAGCAGGTCTCAGCGGAGCTTCCAGACTGAGAACAGACAGGGAAGAAGGGCTCGGCTCCCCACTTGGGAGGAAGGAGCCTCGGAGAGCCGGATGCAGAGCTTGGAAGCATTTTCAAATGCTGAAAGCCTGATTAAGACACAGATGCAATCAAAAAGGAGTGGCTGCTGGATAGGCTTGAGGAAGATCAGGGGAAGCAGGGCAAATAGCTCCTCCCTCCGTCCCCACAAGTATCCAACTAGAACCCCGCGGAGACCCCTGGTCTTGCATAGACGTGTGGTCTCCTCCCACTGAACAAGGGAGCAGCACAAGCTTTGAATAATAGGAACTATTCTCGGATCTGAACGCCACTGCCATGGAATTGATTCCAATTCGTAGCAACCCTGTACACGTTTTCCTATATACTGTCACTCTTTAGGGGAGCAGACAGCCTCCCTTTTTCGGTGGGTTTGAACTTCCAGCCTTGCAGTCAGCAGCCCAACCCCTGAACCCACAAAGCCCCAGGCTCCTATTTTTGGATAAGAGGACTTAATATTAGGAAATCATATTGTCTCCCTAAATGATTATTTATTTAAGATGATTCCAAGAAAAAGATCTACTCTCTTGGGAATTTGAAGGCCCATTACAAAATTCTCACGAGAAATAAGTATGTTAGAATACTCTACACT